CTTTTGTTCACACGCATCATTTAATATAAATGTGTCTTCCTGTGGGTTTCTGCACTTTTTATGCCTTCAGTCAACTCCATGTCTCAAGCAGCGTCCTCAACCGAAACGCCACCAAGTCAAAGTAAAAATATTTTGTTTGTTTTATTAATCTTATTTCTGCACAAAAGTTTGGGGTCATGCAAACAAAAAAATCGAAATATTTTAAAATATTTGTATTTATTAGATGAAAGTGCAGAGTGATGAAAAATACAGCCGATTAAATAATGAATTTGAAGTTAATTTGCCCTTTAAATTCTACTTTTGTCCAAGGAGTATATTCACAGTTACAGCATTGCAGTCTTCATTGATTGTCAGTAATTCCTTTTTTTGAACTCTTTGATTTTCTTTTTTTCCACCCTTTTTTCAGTGTCCAAAGTCTTGATTTTTATGTTTATTGTTAGGATTCCTGTTATGCTTCCTTTGTTATTCTAGTGTATTACAAATCTTAGGTCTGGTTTTGTTTTTACTTTGTTGTTTTTAGTAATAAGTTTTGGTTTGTGATTTCTTGCATTTGGGATTAAAAGAGGGTGCTGTGTCATCTTGTTAGTAGTAGGTGTCAGTATTCATGCCTGCCAGTCTCTTTGGGTTATTCTCTGCTTTTACTTTGAAGGATGTTTTCTCCTATGCCCTGTGTCAGCGTTGTTTCCTGTTGTCTTCTTCTGAGTCCTCATTATTCTCACATGTTGTCAGTTGTGTTCACCTGCGCCCCCCACCCCCCAACCCCTCTGTAGCTCTGCCTGTCTGTGTGACATAACCTGCTTTGGCTGTTTAGCGTTAGTGAAACTTCCTGTTCTGATCCTAGTGCAGTCTCTATCGCGATCTTCTGCTCTCACCCCCTTTTTTCAGATTTTGAGTTTTTTGCATTGCACTTTTTAAAAGAAAGTGGATTTCAGCAGGCTTTTTGTTTGTGAACTCCATTGTACACGAAGCACCACCTACAAGCGAGACTGGTTTCATGAGTACTGAATAGATGCAAAAACATCACCTCAATAGGCAAAAACAGATGTGTTTGGTAGCCAAGCCAGACATGCAACCAGCTGTTTCTTTCTTACATAATTCTTGCATATTTTGGATCTGTGCTGATTGACCTGTTGTACGAGGAAGCTGCCGACAAGAGCGATCCTAAACGTCTGTCAGCTAAATCCATTTTAATCTGCACAAATCTTATCTTTACCTCCACATCATACCCCAAACCAGAACATTTCCTCCATTAGGCTTGACAGATTTGTTCTGTTTTACACAAATTTTCTTCTTTTTAATCCAAACACATTTGGACATCTGTAGCAATTTTGCAGCTCGAGGTTTGTGGGAAACATTTGATAAAGGGAGACAATGAGGTGTTTGTGTCTCTGTCAGGAGACTCTTTGTATTCTTGCTCAGCCCTGCAAGTTTCCAGCATTGAATGTTCTTCCTTTGTTAGAATAGCCTTTAGCCTTTTTAATGAAAACAAATTGCGTAAAAATGTAACTGTCATTTAAAAGTCATTAATGATTGATTGATAACGTTTTATTGCTTATTGCTTGTCATTTGCAACATTTCTGGTACAGTTTATACTATTTTATTTCAAAACAAATATGCAGTTCATTCAAACTTGTAGATGTCACAGGTGACCCTAAACTTTTGTGCAGCAGTCTGTGTGCTGCCTCAGAGTGTGAAACTGTTTTTGTCTCATCTTTTTCAGGTTTTTGCATGAACATCACAGAAGCTGTCACCATCGCATTCTGCTGCTTCCTTCTCCTCATGCTAGCAGTGGGTTCAGCCTGCGTGTACAAGATGTTTGAAAACGAGCAAGGTGTGTGTGAGAACCAGGAATCCACTGATTGGTACAAACGCAGGAATTTCTATTAAAACTTCTTGTCTTCTTGTCATCTTATCTGTTGTTCCAGCTCATACCAACAGTGTTCCAGCAAAGTAAGTTTTACACCTGAAACACTCCAACTATAACTAAGTGTGATATTCTTATATTTACATAACTCTTTAAAGCCTGAAAAATGAAATAATTGCAAGAAAATTCTTTTTTAAATTCCTTTTTAAATACTTTCTTCATCAGAAAGTATTTAGCAAACTTTCTGATGAAGTAAAAAAAATAAATTAAATATTAATTTGCTTATAAGAGTTGTGATTTGTATCATATTTGCTACATGTGGTATTATTTTGCAGTTTATTCCTTAAAAATGTATCATGCAATTCATTGCAGTGTATTTGGGGGGGGGGGGGGGGGGACAGATAATAATAACAAATATTTTTATTTATTGTTTTATTCATGAAACACTTTAAAGAAAGAGTTTACATGAAGACCCTGCAGCTAAACTGATTAAGTAAAAAGTAAAAATAAGTAAAAATCTGGAAAGAGAATAACAAAAAAAGACAGAAAACACAAAC